CTTCATATACATATATAGTTTGTGAGAACAAATTTTTATTATTTTGTTTGTTGAAATAAAACTGTATTTACACATCTTCTTGTTCCGATTTAATGACATGTAAAGCATGCCCCTTTTAGCTTAGGATTATTTTTTAAATTACTTCTCTGCCGTATAGACAGCACCCGTCACTAGAAAGTTTTTTGTAAAGGACCTCTAATTGTTTTGACTCTTGGCCGTCTGAGTAAAATGCAGCTGTGAAATTCATCATTAAAACTTGGTGGCTGGTACATGTAACAAGTCTAATAAAGCCATCGAAAATATGGAAAATAGATGTATCTTTATAAAGAGATACAAATATGTATACGGAAAAAATCACCATGGTTACCAGGTTTGAATATGACATATATAAATATATACGTATGAAAAACAAAAAAGTTGAATACCAGGTAAACCAATGAGTGTTCTGACGGAAACCACATTGCAGTAAAAGGGCATGCCAAATAAATTCTTTGGTTATTTTGCCTAAAAAAATGCACGGAGGACCGGTCACCTCCAGAACATTTAACGGGTAACAAGGGTCAAGCTGTATTTCGTTCAAAGAATGTAATAAGTCGTAACTCCTGGAATTTCGAGGTGCGGCGCGTCGTTTTTTATATTGGATGTAACAAACAAACAAACAAATATTCATTGGATAGTTGAATCCTCTCTTGGGAGTGAGCCATAAAACAAAGCCTTAGCTATTACCCTGATTAATGATGACCTGACAGAATTTCTATTCACATCCAATACATACGAAATAGTCATATAGTCGTTATGGTTGATGGTCGAAGTGGGGAAATAAGTGTAACCTATGCGTAGACAAAAAATGACACTCTATAAACCCTGAAATCGGTGAATGGTGTCCTATATATAGGGGAAGGGGCCGAGACGAGGTTGTCTCGCCCGTCTCAAGATCGGCGTAATTCATACTTTACACATTCTTATTTATTGAGACGCAAAGGCCAGCCTCATTCAAAGCATGTCAAGAACCATTTACAGTTAAACACTTCCTATCATCTTTAATTTTCAAGTTGAAATATGTCTTTATCTTTTCATTTGTTTAATGTATTTGATTTACATTTTGATGACCTTTATGAACTGTTTTATTGAGTGGCCGTTAAGAATGTGATAGTAATAACAATCTAACGTTACGGATAACACAGGGTTATCATTGGGGAAAATACATATACAAATGAACGCTAATTGTGTGTATTACGATTTCTGCGAAACTTAATAATCCCGAAAATGTTGAATTATAACATTATGTATCACACATGTTTTTAACCCTTATTTCTATGTGGTATGGGCTGAAAATACATTTATCACGACTAGCAAATCTAAAAGTTTGTTTGATGTTGTATCCATTTCAAATAACTGTGAAAGCTTCTTATCTACAGTATCGTGGCGCTCTGGCTCTGTACAACTTCCTGGTTCTAACGCTAAAACGTACTCGTCTAAGCTTGATAATTTGGTGCTTTCGAGCTTATTCGAAAACGCTAAATCATAATAACTGCTAATCTGTATTATTTGATTCGTGCATGTTAGCAGTAGCACTTAACTATGATTTATGTTGATTAAAAACTTATGCCGCTGTATGCCGGAATTATGAGTGTGTTGATATATATATTTATAGTACATTTTGTATCTACAAAGGAGGGATGTCATATCAGATATTTGTTTAGTGTAAACCATGTTAACAGACATGTATTGTTACCTTTCCAAATAATTCTGATGACAGTGGTAGGTTCGTTTGTTATTTTGTATCAAAATCACGTGATTGCAAACTAGAAACAGACTGCTTTATTTGTCTGGGACGTGTGCAAGCAGATATGATGTCACGTCGGCCTCTGACCTAGATTCATGGTTTACAGTGTCATTATCTTCCGTCTCCTGATATCTAAATATTTTTATCACACAATCTTGCATACATGAATATAAATATCTTTGCTATGCTGAAGTATTTTCACGCATGACTTGAATAACCAGTTACGTGAAAAATGGTATGCTGATTTGTTATCTACTTTTCTTTTTAATCACGCGTGAATGTATGTGATGGACATCATGGCATGCACGTGATTGCACGAGAATATAGATAACCAAATATCATTGTTGTTTGAACGTACATTACGAAGACCACACAAATTAATGACGTCAACAAAATGGTGTATTTGAAATAAAAAACTGTATTTACAAAAATGTATTCAATCTGTAATTTATGAATATAGCTATGTAACTGTTTGAACAAAGATAACAAAGAAAGGCATTATCATATGAAAAGTCAGTATGTTATATATATGCATTACACTGTACGTCTTAGCAATATGGTGAAAAACAATATTAATATAAAACTAACATTCCTATTAATATTCTTCACGGTGCAGTCATGTAAGTAGAAAGTGAATTACAGTTGCAGTTTTACAAAAGTTTTAAACCAACGGGAGATTATACAAGGGCAACGATAAATGCAATCTTATCTACAAAAACTATGTGTTTGAGTCGAGCAGACCTGATATTCACGTTACAGATGTAATTTCATTATCTTTTTTTTAAATATCGGTAAAGGTCGCAATTTCGTTTCTCTTTGAACCACAATGTTCTATAATGATGCTGTTTTAATGTGATTTATTTAGATACACTAGGAATAATTAATGAACAAAACACGTTCTGCTACTTATGCAGAACTTTCGTTCTATAAAACGCAATGTTCCAGTGTCTTATTTCTAGACTTTGTTTTGTAATTAAGGATATATTTTTTTGTTCTTTAATAATAATCTGCCCTTTTTGAAACTGAAAGAAGTTCATGTAAATTCTCAGCGACACGCCCCGGAATCTTGTGCGTTGGGTTCTCAGGCGTTCCCGTGTTATTACTGGCAAAATCACCGACGCAGTTCGGAATGTTAACAATTAATTCACGTCAATAACCCCAAAGTTTACACAAGTCGCATGTTTTTTTAGGTGCATCAACAAATTTCCCTTGATATGTCCGTAATTACCAAATCTGTAATATCAGTAATGTATATGGTCTACTGCAACGTTGACAGTGAAACATGAATACAATCGATGGTTTCCGAATAGCCCCTTATTATTATCTCTTCATTTCAAAAGAAATTTTTCAGATTTTTTTCAATTCATTAATGGAATAATTGTTTTTTCAAATGAATGGATAAATAGTTGTTTAAAATGTGAAGTTTTAAAACTGAAAAGTTGATATTTTGTTGGGACTGGAAATTGAAGCCGGATCTGGATCCGGTGGAAAAGTTTTCACTTGTACTAAGTTGTGATATTATCGCGGCCTTGGATGAAGGACAGAGGCGGGAATGAATGACAGAGGGTTGCAGTAACTTTAATTTGGTGATTTTTTTTTATTTGATGAGATTAGTGATGTGAAATAATTATTTCCGTTTCGAACTGCGTCAGCAATTTTGCCAATATTAACCCGGAACATCTGAAAACACAACGCCAATATTATGGGGCGTTTGACTATGACTTAACGTCATCCCTTTAATTCTCAAAAATGGCAAATAATCAACAAATTCATTTAATTTCCAAACAGTGTGCAAACTTATTGGTATTATACAATAGAATTATAGGTTTTTAGAAACTGAATATGGTGGGTTACTATTAATACTGAGGGAAAAGAGGGAAAAAAACCTGAAACACTAAACAAAGTATTAAGTATGAAGAGTGATTGGCCGAATTAATGTGCTAATTAGATAGGTTAATTTGCTTCGTTTTATGATTATTAAGCAATTTTTAGAACATTTGTATGTAAATTAACTCATTGCTTATACATGTTTAGAGGTTACCCAACGAGTGGTAGGTATCTTGTTTATCTAACTAGTGAAAGGTTTATAAACATGTTAACCAACCATCACTAGTTTAGGGACTAATTTGTCACATAACGTTCATATTACATATATATCTGAAATGCCATATTTTCCTCTAGGAAATACATAATTTATGTTTCAGATCGGGTACACTATTGTCATGAAATAATGACGTCACAATGGTAGATGCTGGCACAAAGTATTCTTACGTGACGTCATAATTCAAAACTTGACCAATAAAATAACGATAAAGTTGTAACTCACTAGGGGGTACCCAAAAGTATTAACTTACTCCAAGCAGGTTTATCCAGCAAGTCAGGAGAAACGAAATATTTAACAGTTGCCTACAAAATACTTTTCCGAAGTTCAGAAAATAATTGCGTAATAGTTATGCAGCTTTGTATAATATATCCATGATGTTTGTTTAAACGTTTTGAAAATCGGTATTAAAGTTACATTTATTTGGGCATGGCATATATATTATATTTGCAGTGGTTTAAGTTTGGAAATCATGCATCCAATTCATTATGACAATTATTTAGAAATAAAAAGCACACAGCTTATATGTAGACCGCTTAATGTATATACACAGGCATGATGCGTAGTTGCGTTTTAAAAATGCAGCAATAATTTGTTCATGATACAAATGTGTTTCCCTTGATCTGTTTCTTGGTCTGTCCTTCTGTCAGTCTTTCTCTTTCGCTCTATATTTATCATTCTCTTGGTTCATCGATCAATTGATAAGCATTGTTAATTATTTTACAAAATCTATGAAGAAAGTATTTTTTTCTGAAATGGATTTACCGAATTACGACTTTATAGTATCAAATCCATGATACTGCACATGTTTTAGAGACCAAAAGTTGCCAAGTTAAAAACAAAATAACAATGCTTTACTGCTGTAAACACGTTTCAGCATAAATAGAAATATCTGGAGATCTATATTGTTTATGAATCGATGCGGAAGTGGAAAGTTCTTATCATACCGCAAACAGATTTATTCTTAGAATGACAACGTAAGGCTAGAATATATTATGCAAAAATGTCAAGCTAACCAAACGAAAGACTTGGATTATAAGAGAGATACGCATGGCAACAGATCGATCGTTTGAATAGATCGGTGTTGATTGAGAAAGTAAAGGGGGCTTATCATCTCGCGGATACGGACGCTGGGCCTCGCGGCAACAGGATGGTGTATACAGACCGATACGTGAGGTGTATACAAACATCTCCCAACTGTACAACAGGACAGGTCTCCTTCAGGGCGAACGTCAGCAGCAGTAACGAATATTACTTAGGTGATCGCGTCACTCTGATACACCAGCGTTACCTTAAACAATAGTAACCATTAGTAGGTTCGTTATACTAACTTCGGTTCAACTCCAATGCTCTCTAACTAGCAACCACGGAACACTTCACAGGGCAGCGCTGTGCATTATAGTCACTCGACACATCACGGCCGACAACTTGGGGACACTACGGCTCTGAAGGCGATGACACGTTTTGATTGCAATGTAACTATGTAATACTTGTGCCGTTAAAGAATCTCCACTGTTTTGAATTATATCAGTTCAAAAACAAAATGTCTAGTTAGCATCGGGAGAATACATATCTGGGGTTTTTTCGTTTGGATATTTATCATTAACTGACAAAATCCGCTTTAATCAATCTCTTGGTGTTTAATAGATTGATAATGGTAAATGATTTCGTCATTTTATGACTTATTGTATTATTTTTTAAATATATGAAAGTTTTTAAAACATTAAGGGACAATTCGAGGAATAGAAGTCGTTTAACCAACTTTTTCATTTCAATAACTGCACAATACGCTATTACCGTAGGATGTGTGTTGGTCATGCATTGTGTCTGTAAACAATAGCCAAGGGACTGTGCATTCTGTTGGACAAGCAACACTACATTGTCTGAAGGTTCCAGTTGATGAAGATACCCACAAGAAGGTGTGTGTGTTCCACTTCATTTCTTGTTGGACATATGACCCATGTCGAATTGAACTTATGTAAGTACAAATATAATTCTATATATATATTAATATGTAAATTTACTGCAGACCCATATAGAATACGTATATAAGTATAAAGCCTTTCTGGAACAGCTTGCTGCAAAAAGCTATGGTTGGCTTGTTATGAAATATATTATTCATAACACACGCGTCCCTGCTCTACTGCACAATCACAAAGATATAGTATAGAACATTCTGCTCTCAAGCCTTTGTGTATCATTTTACCAGTTTTCTGGCTTGTAGAAGAATCACTTTAAACTAACATTACGGTTTAGGCAACGAAATACAATCCAACACAAAGGCGTGTAATCATCTTCTAGGGTGTTAACATATGTTGTACATTCAAAACGCATAGGCATACTAATTATAATAACATTACTTTAAAGTTTAACCGTAACACGTGTGTTGTCATGATTTTACTCTTCAGAATTTTCTGAAAAATACCAGTTTTAAAAGGATGAGTCATGCAATAACTATATACACCATGAGCCAGTTGCAGGGTTTTCTTTTCCGCAGTTTAATTTGTCGTTATTGTGATATATATATATATATACGTCAAATCCGTGATTGTTTAGCGGATCGGTGAGCTTACAAATGTGATCAAAACCGTGTTATTCATTGCGTTTATACTTTTACAATAGCTTTAGTTAAGTCAAAATTGAAAGCATATCCATTATTCAGAATTTCAACTGAAACGCAAAATTCCACTCGCTCACAAAATGGGTATCAACGTATATTTGTTTAAGTATGTGTTTTAGTTTCCAGTAAAGACATGTTTTATACTGTAAAACTGTCAAGAATCGACACAAAAGGAAAGATATTTTTTATGCAAGTGTCAAACTATCTATTATAAAAAAAATATTGGATTGTGTCAGGTGTTTCACTTTCAGACTAATACATGCCAGTATATGCGTTTTTCCTGTAATGTCAAAGCCAGCTCGTTTCAAAAAGGACAGGCGATAAAGAAATGATTATGAATACGGTTTATATATGAAGCGTTGAAATTTGGGGGGAAATGTAACAGTTGACAATTTGTAATTTGAATATGGGGCTTACATTTCTCAAGATGGATACCAAAATGTTACTGAATGATGGAAGATATCCGCAAAGGCAATAACGATATTTCACTAAGGGTCTGTTTCGATCCGTGCGGTGTCGAGAGGACATTGAAGAAGAGAAAGGTCTTCTGCCATTGCAACACTCAAAGTTGAGTGTTTATATCCGTGTCTCCTACATCCATTTTGCTTTCTGTTCGGCGGCGGTATCAATTAGGTTCTGCTTCGTCTGATCCTTGCTGTTGTGAGTACGATAAACCCATAAAAAGATCGAAGTTGGTTTTGGTTCTTTTCATTCCGGTTTTGTGTCGATTTTACTACATGTGACCGCCCAGAACTGTGGTCTTGTATTCCAAAGGAGGTCGTCACCATCACAAATATTTAAATGCAATATGTAATATTTAATCAGATTCCGGGAATATACAACCTTTTTCTAACTTATTAACAACAACATTTAAAGCCAGACGCTTTCTTTGCTTGCGTCCGTCTTACTTTTTTGCGTCCGTCTTACTTTTTCTTCGCGACGGTGTATTTCCCCTAGGCACCAGTCTTCATAAATTGTATTACCTTAGCTAATGTGAGGACGTTAAACCCGACACAAACAAACAATCTCAGCCGCTAACCTCTTCTAGATGCTTTCACACGCTGATGCACATAAAAGTAATATCTGAGCTGCGATGTCCCATGTAAACAAAGCAAAATGCGCTTCCGGTTATAACAATATGAACGAAAAAAGATCAATAATGTAAAAAGTAAACAAATGATGCGGAAGTCACGTTTGACTTTCGTCTTTGGATTAGAAGTTGCCTATTTCGTCGATGAACCATGCTAACGATATTTATTAATAATGAAATTGCAATACCTCATAACGTTTTCAAGGGAAATATCTTTCTCTTACCATGCGTATTAACACTTTTCCCGGTGTGAGAAACTTGTCTCACCTAGTGGTGTGACGAGGGGACTGCACCGTTTATTAAAATTGTATGCATTACGATCAACAAGGAATTGCACCAGTACCGTCAACTTTACATTATGTATATGATAGGGTCAAGAGGGAAAGAAGTACCACCCTCTTGGGGTGAGACGGAGAATCACAGCCATCAGGGAATGATTCTTAAATGCCAAACACTCGGCAAGCCTCGTGTTTAGCAACTTAAGAATCTTCCCCTCGTGTTGAGATTCCCTTATTTTCAATGAAGTCGACGAGCAATATCATCACTACTGTTTTTTTACCATCCAAACGTTTAATAAATGTTTCCTCAGTATCAGCAAATAACTGGACGGCGATGACCGCTTAACGCTATTTTTAAATTTAACAGACGTGCCTCCATGGTGCTATATACACAACATATCAATAATCATAATGATTAAAAAACGTGTATTTCCTTTTAGTGTTCTTTCATGGTGGATAGAAAATCAAATATGAAATAAATTTGCAAGAACTGATCAACCGATGTTTTACGGTTTTCTTTCCAAGGACTTACAAGCACAGAAATGGCTTGTACTATTGCTATGGGGCTGTTGCCCATATTTAACATGCCAGAGAATCTTGGTGGGATTTTGACTTCTTTTTTTTAAAAAGATAGACGCGAAATTGCAAAGATGTTCAACTGCTTTCAGATGTTGGGAGAACATATTGGTTTTTTTTTAAACTGCTTCAAGATGCGGTCCATTAGCAATATTAATGTCCATTGCATTACATGAAAGTAAAGCACGAACTGCTTACGGAGTTCACGTTTATTTCATTGTAATGCATTATCTATGAACCGCATCTGAAATCTGTTTAATACATACAACTAAATACTTATACCTCATCTAGAGAATACATCATAAACACACTAATGATAATCCCCTCGTAAATCTTAATTTTGGTTATTTTTTCTATTGACAGATTTATTAAATAATTTAATTAGTTTTGCTTTTTACGACCTTGATTAAAAAAAATGAAACTTAACATCCGTGCACTAAATCTTCAGTAAAACCACTTTAACCAAAAGGTACGGAATTTTATATAAAACTCACCATTGATTATGACATGCCTTCTATCTTCTATATCATTTTCATTACATGAAATAGATTTTCTTTCTTCTGTAGGTATATTTGTATACCTACTCTTTGTGTCTAGCAAAGTCTTCCATGGTCCCTCTGGTTAGCTTGCTGATGATATGATATGTTGGAGTGTCATGCTAGCACGTGCCGGTCGTGACGTTTCAGTGAGATATCAGTTCAATGTCGTCTGTTAGTGGTGATGTCATAATTATCCGAACACTTTTTTCGTGTGTAATTAACTGTTATGATGACGAAAATAGAAAACAAATGAACAAATCATAACGCAAAAAAATCAACTTTATCACTTTATAAAATCGTTATCTCGTCTTCTGTTTTTACATTATTTGTATGTAGGTAGATTCTGTTTTGCTAATATCGCATTAGTGTGTGTGTACATTGTGTATGTCTTGTTCCATCTTGTCAGATAATCATCTTACATACATGCGGGAGATATTGTGTAGATTAAACTAGTTTGCTTTAGCGAAATATTGAGGGGTTATATTCAAAATTGTAGAAAAAAATGTGTAACTTATATATAAGCATAAGTCTGCAGATACATATCTTCAGTGTTCGTCTCTTTTCCTGCTATTCAACCTTGTTCTGTTCCGAATGTCTAGAGTGTTATGTTTTGATTAATATCAATATATAACAAAGAAATGCATTTCGTTTCAAAATCATGTCAACTCTTTCTTTCTATTTCCTACCACAACGAGAGTTAATACTTATATGTATCTACACCGCCATCTCTTCCTCTCATTTTTATTACTTCGAGAGCCTGAACGATAACTGCATTTCTAACTCGCCCTCTCTCATTTCTATCATCACGAGAACGGTATCTACAGTACTAGTACAATTTGCCCCCTCTCATCCCTAACACAACGAAAACCAAGACAGGTATATTAATCGATACGTGAAACATGTATACTTCCTAACGATGTCAATCTGGCTATATTGTTGTCGGAAAATAGCTCAAACTATAAATAAACGGCGAATCTGTATTTGATAGAGGGTCAGTTAGTAGTTTAAACCTTTAAAGGTGTTGCCCGAATTTTAAACATCAAAACTGGCTCCAGTTATGAAACTACACTATATAACCTTGAAAGTATGTCACAAATACACTATAACCTCGATATTATGTCACCAATACACTATAACCTCGATAGCATGTCACAAATACACTATAACCTCGGTAGTATGAGTCAAATACACTTAAACCTCAATAGTATGTCACAAATACACTATAACCTCGATAGTATTTCAAAAATACACTATAACCTTGATAATATGCCTCAAATACACTATAAACTCGATATCATGCCTCAAATACACTATAACCTCGATAATATGAGTCAAATACACTATAACCTCGATAGTACGAGTCAAATACACTACAACCTCGATCGTATGTCACAAATACACTATAACCTCGATATTATGTCACAAATACACAATAACCTCGATAGTATGTCACAAATACACTATAACCTCGATAGTATGTCAAAAATACACTATAACCTTGATAATATGCCTCAAATACACTATAAACTCGATAGCATGCCTCAAATACACTATAACCTCGATAATATGAGTCAAATACACTATAACCTCGATCGTATGTCACAAATACACTAGAACCTCGGTAGTATGAGTCAAATACACTAAAACCGCGATAGTATGAGTCAAACACACTATAACCTCGATATTACGTCACCAATACACTATAACCTCGATGGTATGTCTCACATAAACTATAACATCGATAGTATGCCTCAAATACACTATAAACTCGATAGCATGCCTCAAATACACTAGAACCTCGATAATATGAGTCAAATACCCTATAACCTCGATAGTACGAGTAAAATACACTACAACCTCGAAAGTATGTCACAA